CAAATTATTTAGAACTTTGTAAATCAATAACAGTTCTAAATGTGAAAATCTCTCAATCTCTGTTTTACTAAGTTTCTCTGAATGCTACTTCCTGGCCTTTTTCTGTATCATGCTGGAAGACTGTGGTGGTGGGAATTTCATCTAGAAATTTATGAATATTTTTCCTATTGTGTACCTCAGGAATTGGTGAGCGCTCCAACGCTGGTGGCATCCAAGAGAAAATTAGACAACCATTTGTTTGTTTGTTTGTTTGTTTATTGCTTTTACCCAGCCCATCTAGATTCAAACGAATCTACTTTGGGTGTCTTACAGTCTGAGCAATATAAAACAAGAATTAAAACAGACAATATCCAAACAAAAAAAGAGAAGTAAACAAAGTCCAAGATAAGAAAACATAGGGAACTAAGTGATGGAGGGGTGGAGGAGGCTTCATTAAGAATCAAATCTTCAGCTTGTTCTTAAAAACTCCCAGGCTATGGCGCCAGGCAAATCTCAGAGGGCAAGATGTTCCAGAGGCGAGGGGCTGCCACCAAGAAGGCCTGGTTTCTAGTTCTCTCCTTCCAGACCTCCCTTGGGGTCAAGCCCTTCAGCCGCCCAGCCCAGCTAGATTGAGTGACATGAGTAGAGTAGGTGGGAGCAGGCACTCTGTCAGGTGTTGAGGTCCTCAACTGTTTATATGTAAGCATGGATACCTTGAAGTCAATGTGGAAATGAATGGGCAACCAGTGTAAGGACGCCATAGTGGGGAAAATGTGATGATTTTTTTCACACCAGTTAATAGTCCGACGGCTGTGTTATGGACTATTTGTAGTTTTCGCATCAATCTCAAGGGCAGCTTCATATAGAACACATTATAGTTGTCTAATCTCGAGACTATGAGCCCATGGAGAAGAAAGGTGAGTGCCCCAACATCAAGATAGGAGCACATCTGGGCAATCCGCCAAAGATGTAGATGGGCAATACAGACCACAGACACTACCTGGGACTCCATGGTAAGCACTGGATCATGATGGAGCCCCAAACTGTGGACCACACTCTTTGTGGTAGATGGAGCCCCAAACCGTGGACCACACTCTTTGTGGTAAGAGTCACCCCCCCCCAAAGAGAGGGAACTTCCCAAACCACTGATAGCAGGAGCAGCCACCCTCAAGACCTCCCTCTTGTCCAGGTTCAGCCTCACTTGATTTTCTTGCATCCATTGCAGTTCAGCCCCTGGGCAGCGCTAAAGGGACGCAACGGCATCCACTACTGTTGGAAAAAAGGAGATGTAGAGCTGCACGTCATCAGCATACTGATGACATGAAGCACCACACCTCTGGATGTCCCCTCCCAGTAGCCTCATATAGATATGTATTAAACAGCATTTGGAGAGATGATTAAGCCCTGTGGCACCCCACAATTGAAGAGCCACAGGTCTGTTACACTCTCTCCAAGCTGGACTCTCTGGGGACAGTCCTCCAATAAGGACCGGAGCCAGGCAAGAGCCATGGCACTGATGCCCAACTTGGAAAGCTGTCCCAGGAGCATACCATGGTAGGTGGTATTAAAGGTGGCTGAGATACCAAGGAGAACCAACAATAACATTTTGCCCCTATCGGCCTCCCTCAGTAGGTCATCAAGCAGGGTGACCAAACCCGTTTCCATACCGTGACGCATCCTGAAGCCTGACTGGAACAGATCCAGGGCATTGGTTTAATCCAAGGGAGCCTGAAGCTGACCAGCCATCACCCTTTCTACAACCTTGCTAAGGAAGGAAACATTTGAAACATTAGGAAACATTCCTAATGGGCCTAATGAGTATCTCCTTGAGAGAGACCCATTAGTTTCTATTGCAGTAGCCCATTCAATTGTCACAGGCCTGGCCGCTTTGATTAGACAGGCCAGGCAAGGGTCAAGGGAGGAAGTGGTGGCATGACAGCGATCAAGTACCTTGTCAATCTCAAGTGACGTGACTGTCTCTCAGATCTTCTTTGATTTGGATTCATGCATTGAGCAGAGGTTTGGACTCAGTGGACTTATAGGCCCCTTCTAACTCCAAGATTCTATGCATTTACACACTTTGCCTGACTTATGCATGTTTCTCCCATTGATTAAAGTGTGTTCCACACACACACACACACACACACACACACACACACACCCCGCACCCAGCACCCAGCACCCAGCACCCAGCGGTGGCAATTTTTGAACACACACACACACACACACACACACACACCCAGCACCCAGCACCCAGCACCCAGCACCCAGCGGTGGCAATTTTTGAATAAATGCATTGTTTTGACAGACAGCTGGCTGGGAAATGGTTCTACAAAAGATCTTACAGATATGCTGCTAGTCTGAGGCTCCACAGATCTTCATCAGGGTTAATTCTGCTCCCCCTTTGGTTGATTGGTATATGCTACTGGGCTGCAGCTTGAGCTAAGGTGCCAGCATTATCATTGTACAAATGTTTGATAAAAATGTAGTAAATAGGTAAGCAGAACAAATTGTTACCTCCCAGATGTTGGTGGGCTACATCAATTCCCATCAGCCTTAGACAACGTAACCAACAGGGTCAGGCTGATCTTTCTTGTTCTTCTGCAGGCAGGCAAAGACCTTTCTCTTCTCAGTAATTGGCTGCCCCCCCCATCCCTAATTCCAATTTTTGTATTGGTTATTTTAATATTTTAATCTGGGTGCAAATATTTTAAATAAACAGTAGTAATCAGAAATAAACAGTGAATCGGAACTAAAGGAAGACCCTGGGTTTTGTCACACTTCATCCGAGCGCCTACTCATATAATCTCTGGAAGGCATCCTGGCTGGAGTATTCTGACAGTTGTAGTTCAGAAAACTAAATTTTATCTAGAGATTTCCTTGGTTGAGACTGTAGTATAAGCCACCTTGGTGGCCATTCTTAAGATCAAGTAGGCAGTCTCGAAAAATAAGAAGTAAATGTCTTCAAACATTTGCAGCATACAGACACGTGCAGGGACATTTTAACAATCAAAATAGGAAAGCAAATAGAGAGGTTGAGGAATGGAACTAAATCTGCCTGAAGGGTTGTAACTCCCCAATAGATGCTCTCCTTATGGAGTCTTGATAAATGATCTGTTGTGAAATAAAGGGACAGATCAGTTTCCAGAGTGAATGAGGCTGAGTGAATCACATGATCTCTGGTGAGCTTTGGAATATTTAGAAAATGAAGTCATCCAGACAGCATTAAACAGAGTTATGTCTCTGTTGCCCAGTTCTGTTTATGGAAAAATGAGTTTGGGGATTGGTTTTTGCTTAAGCACATAGTGTTCCTTGCTACCTAGTCACACACAGATTGCTTCAATAAAGTAGTCCTTATCCCGTCCAGCACATATTCTTGTTGAGTCCTCAGAAGTGGGGTCCATGGGGAGAAAAATATTTCTTGTATGATTCCCCAGAGGTCTGGAAGTACATTCAATACATTACTTTTTTCAGAGGTTTGAAAAGTTCCTTTTCTTGGACTACTGCTCCCAGAATCCCACACATGGATGTTATTGGCTGCTTGTTTATTTCTTTGTTTAATTGATTGATTTTAAATGATGGTATGCAATAAAAACACATAGGAGCAAAAATATTTCCGTAATATTCAACCAGATTACCACCCCCTCCAATTTTTTTCTGACTCATGAAAAGTTCACAGAAACCAGTAATTACTTTTTAATACATGTGCTCATCAAGCATTTCTTGGTACCATATCAATCCTCGCCAAAATGGTCACTAAACTTGAGACAATATCTATGGCACTGATAGAAGCAACATTTTAAAAAAGAGCTGCAGTTATTTCAAAGACAATTTTGGCCATCTGAAGTAGAACTGGATTGAATTTAGGAGCTTAAAGTCACAATTCTGGTAGTGGTGAGAGACTAATGAAGCAAAAACAGGAGTGGTCATGTTGGTTTGCCTGACATTAACCTTTAGAAGTGGCCATCTTCAATGCCCACAGTTCTCATAGGCCTGGGAAAGTTACCATTTGGTGCCTGGGAGGTCCAGTCCCTTCTCCCAAACTGGCAGGTCCAATTATTGGTCACCACGTGGCCCAGGGGGCCAGTGTCATTTTCATTGCACCAATCATAGAAGTAGCCTGGCAGGCACTTCCCTGCCTCCCCGTGCAGCTGACCACTCCAGCAAGGAGGCAGAATGACAAGTCTCCACACTTAGCTATTGAGTGGTCAGCTATGGAGGAATGCAGGGAAGTGCTGGCCAGGCTACTTTTGCAATTGGCATGATGATAATGATGCTGGTTGTATGCGTGCACCATGCGGTAATTACTACTCAGACCTGCTAGTTTGGGGGGAAGGGACTGGACTTCCCAGATACCTATTGTGCTAATATTTGTATTCATATCCCCAGAGATACAAATTCATGTTAAATCCAGTACTGAAATAAAAAACTATGGCATTCCCTTCCCTTGTTGATGCCATAAGCACAAGCTTACAGTATTTTGCTCAACGGTTAATCCAGGGCTGTTTACATTGGACAAAAAAAGCCAGTCTGCACAGAAAATGATAAATGGACCAAAACAAAAAAACACCCGATCTTAGAAACAGGAACACTATGAAACTAGTGGGACAACATTTCAGTTTCTGCTGGCTCTGACTTCAGCCTTACCATTTTGTTGTTTTTTTCTAAATAAATACGAAGTGTATCATCTATTTTAACCCTAAGCGCTATGTGCATGGTGTGTTCATATTTTAAAATCACCTTCTGTCAAAAAACACTGTAAGACATGTTAGAGGTAACACACACCAAATCTGAAAATCAGCATGATGTTAAAAATGGAATACCAATATACAGACTTTAAAGCAGACAGTAAGCAAATTAAGAGATCTACACAGTCTGGAATTTGGTACCAACATAAAAAAAATATACCAGTTTATAGTTTGACACTTTTCAATCAAAGAAAATGAGGTGTACTCCAATGAGCAAGTTGTACTACCAGCTTCCTGAGACAAGAAGCGTAAACATTATGAGTTTCTCTATAGGCAATCAGCCAGCAGCATAAAAGCTCAACATCCCTGCCAAGATTTTACAAGCCTCCTATCTCTACCCTGAGGAGTACATATCAGGTAAGATAAAGTGCCCACATATTAGCATGTCAAGACCTTTGAGCTTCAGACTGGTTTATGCTGTACTTAACAAATGTTCATTCTTTAGTAATACAAATAATGCCACTAATATTTTGTATGTTTTAAGTTGGAACTGACTTATAGCAAACCTAATACGGCTTTCAAGGTCAGTTAGATATTTAAGGAGGGGTTTTAACACTTCTACTCCCCCAGTCAGTTTCCATGGGATTCCAACCCAGTTCTCTAGAGTCCTAGTCCCTCACTTTGTCTACTACACCACAGTGGAGATCTTACCAGTAATATTACTGATGCCAAAAGCATGCATTTTATGCAGACTAAATCAAAGTTATGCATGTCAAAGCACAGACAGAGTTCTGACTCCTGTCCTCTGATGATGCCAGCCACAGAGACTGGCAAAACGTTAGGAAGAAAAACGTTAAGAACACAGCCAAACAGCTCGGAAAACCCACAACAACCATCAGATCCCAGCCATGAAAGCCTTCGAGAATACATGTCAAAGCAATTCTGTCCTTAGTGACATCAGCTTTTAGGGCCCTCAAGACAGGGTTAACCTGAACATGAGAAGAGACAGAGCAGGTTTTATGTGGAAAGCTATATCCTGAACAGGAATGCTTCTGCTATATATGTAGAGGCCTTGTGCAACCCTGATAAACCAGGGTTTCTTATGCAAATTGAGCAACTTGAGCTCTTCATATGATTACTCTCCATGTGAAGAGAGCTGCTTTCTCTCATGCACTCAGGTCAGTTATATTCTGGACATATGGATGGATTTTGTAGACATCCCACTACCTTAGAAGAAGACAATATGCATTTTCACCATAACAGGTTCTCTGATACAACACACCCAAATATGCTGGTAAAACATGTTGTAACACTTCTTCTGGGAAGATATACTAAGAGATTTAGTAAAACAGGATGGAATCAAGGGAAAGATGATGGGGAGAGAAAGGTGGGAACAAAACATCATATCCTATATTTCTTCAGATCGTAGCCTGCCCATATTGGTGTGGCAACTTTACATTAACTGTGGACCTGGTACAAAAAAAATTCCACCCCATTGACTTCAGTGGGAGGGAACTCCTGTGGATAACTGCCCTGTTCACATTCCTATAAAAGCACATAAGATGTAGTGTATCTTATATACACTCTAATACACACAACAAGATTGCAACTGAAATGATAGGATACATTACACAAAACAATCTCTGTCTGGGCCTATGTTGTATACCTAGAGTTCACAAGGGGGTGACGGGAAACAAGGAGAAGGGGAACTTAGTCACAACATGTAAAGCATACTGTTAATGTTTCTCTGTTTAGAACCCTAAGAGGTACCTTGTGTTGAGAATCCAAATATGAACACCTGACATCAAATTCCACTCTGGCAACTGTGAGTTCAAGGGAAAAGCAGCTGACACAAGGAAGTAAGTGAAAGGGAAAGACATGCTCACTAAGTTAGACGAAGAAGGAAGGACAGCTAAATGTTGGTCAGTGGGGACTGGAAATCTGATAAGCTATCTACTCCTGATTAGCACACTCCAGATGAAATAAGAGCAGGGTTTAACAAAGAATGTGGTATCTTGTCTCAACCAGGGTTAAATTCAAGCAACAGACTTCTAAAGAAGATACCAACTCATATGTTTTCAACTTCACACTGCTTTTTTTCCCCTTCTCCATTTTTAGTTGTCTGGAAATATGTTTTGCTTTATCATTTAAAGAGTTTTTGAAATTATGTTTTAATTAGGTAATCAAATGCAACTCTATTTTAATATTTGTGAATTCTGGGAGAAAGGCAGCATACAAATGAAAATAAATAAATAAAATTGTTTACCACATGGAAACAATAGCCAGATTATTGAATTAATTGTACAAAGCAACTTAATTTCATTACATCTTGTTCAAAATGTAGTTCATATGAAAAATGAGGCTTCAACAACACGATTACAGGATGTCTGCATGGAAGCTGGTGTTTGGATTGTCAACAAAATGCCATATTCAATAAAGAGGAAGTTTTCTTAGTACATTGTCAAACTACATTGTCTGGGAGTAAGAAAAGATTGTAAGGGGGCCTTTGCTACCATTGCCTACATGATTAATAGACAAAGAGAGAGAGAAACCAGGGGAAGTGAAGCTAACTCTGAGAGGAAGCAACAGGGCAAACAAGAGAAATAAGGTACGTACCTGGGTGGTGGCAGCATTTCACATGTCATTGTTGGAACAGAGAAGCCTAGATGGGATGCAGACATTTTGTAGTTACTAAGCATAGAATTGAGTGGGGTACATGATCACAACTATATTGTGAGCTGTTTGTTGTGCACATGGTCATGCCCTGGTTGTGCAGTTGGGCTGACAAAACACACACAAAAAACACATTTGCATGATTGTTCTTCCATGCACATAAAACTTGACACGATTTAGGCCTGCTTCACTCTCTTTCAGTTCTTATGTCTTCCTACTAGAGTGGCATGCCATCTGCCATGACTTGGGCTGACGAAACACACACACACAAAAACACATTTGCATGATTGTTCTTCCAGTTCTTATGTCTCCCTACTAGAGTGGCATGCCATCTGCCATGAAGCACATTTGCTGCAGATCATCCCTTTTGTGACCTTTCAGCATGCAAGTAGTAATTTCAAACACTTGGTGTTTCTTGTAACTTCCTGTTCTCTCTATCTGCCATCTTGCTAAGTATGCAAGGTACAAAATGTTTGGAAACCTAAAAGTGCCCTTTTCAGGGGAAAAAAGTGGCATTTGTGTTTCTGTTGGGGGCGGAGTCCTTTTTACAGAATGGTTGATAGGTGGGACATATGAAATATGAAAAATTAGGAACAGTTTCATCAAGAAACCCCAGTAGCCTATCTTTCCTTCTGCTGTCCCTAGAAGGCAGAGACACATGTAATTATGTAAGTAACATACTTTCGTTCCTAACACATGGGGCAAGGACAAAAATCTATTCCTTCCAGGCCAACTGAAAGCAATCAACATGGGCTCCTTGAGCACATTTGTGCATATGATTCAGTTGGTTCTATTGATTTTGTAGGATGTATTGCCTTGGATTCACTTAGATTGTTACTGAGTGTTTTCCAACACCATTAAAAAGGTTTGAGAAGGATGTAGTTGCTTCCACATTTTACACAAGAACATTGGAAAGGATACAAATTTCTCCTTGTAAATGATGTGCATTCATGATAGAGCATGGTATTACTGTGGGTAAATCCAGGGAGCTGTTAGATTTTGAGCTGATGAGTGGGAGATTTATTCTGCTTGTATGGAACTCAACAGCCAACATTGCTATTGGTTTTACTTGGACAAGATGGGACAGAACTAAATGTTTCCAGATGAAATTACGTGCGTGCAAAAAGCCACAAGGTCTCTCTTTTCATTCCATGCATGTAGCTCAATTCCTCATTATTGCGTACTATATAGCCAGCATATTTAAAACCTACAATAAATGAGAAACAAAGGTGCTGGAAGCAAATATGCTCAAGCTTGCTGAAGGACAAGAGGAAGACATCTCAAAGATGCACAGAGTAGAAAGAGGGAGGTAAGCAGAACAAGGCTTCATTCTGCACAAAGATGGAGAAAGTTACATGGTTTGATTATAGCTTCCAGAAACTCTCAAACAGCCAGAGACCATGCTTGCTGTGGATTCTGAGAGCTTTCAATTTTATTTTTAAAAAGAAAGAAAAGAAAGGCTTTCTCATTTCAGGTCTTATAGGAGGTCACTGACTAACTAAACCATGTCCAAGAAATGAACAGTAGCAGCAGATAACTCATTTGTAAGGTGGAACACATGAGCAGCTTCCAATCACATCTGCTACCATATACAATGACCAAAGCAAAAGCATGGGGAAGTTATTACTTCAAAGAACAGCATCTCAGGATCATCAGGTCAGTACAGTCACCAGATGGGGGTTGTTCTGGAAGCTACAGTCCAAAATATTAATTTTTCCAATCTTTTAATCAAACTAAAGGTTGACAGTGGCCAGATCCGCACCTGATCAAATCCAGATGTGTGGCACAAGGCATACATCTCTTTGGTTGACAAAGGCAAAAAAACATTGACACAATGTGAGTCTTTAAAGACACAAAAGAATCTTTGGACCCATTCAGTCTTTGGAGCCTCACTTTCATCTGGGTTTGGGTGAAAATCCAAAATATAGTATTACAATCAGATTGAGCCAAAATACCAGAGACAGTTTAAAACAAAGTTAAACAGTATTGAGGTGGAGAACCTCTCCTAATGATGCTCACCATCTAGGATTGTGAGTGTGTTATGTGCTTCTAAGTCGTATCCAAATTACAGCAACCTTAACAGGATTTTCAAGGTAGGTGAGATGTTCAAGGAGTTTGACATACAGTAAAAAGAGTCACCTTTTGTCATATAATCAAATGCAGATGATAATAGTGTATATTTCAGGCTATTAAGTCTGGGGCTTTTCATAAGCTGAGAGAGTAGAGAGAAAGTACAAAGTGACGATAAGTCAAGAACAAATCCAAGAGAACTTGGTTCTACTGGAGATAGAATGAACTGCTGAAGACAGATTTCATAGGAAAGCATAACCTAATCCAAATGTAACCCCTGTGACGTATTGGTTCAGTCTCAAGGAAGAAAGAGAAGGGCTGAGAATAAGAGATCTGAGTCTCAAAAAGAGTGGGAGAGCTAGAGGTGGGAGCTGCTGTTGTCAGTTCAACTACTCAGGCCCTTGCCAACTTGGCTTAGGTATAATTTGTATATGTTTGTGTATATTTCATACAATTGTATTAGTATTTTATTTTAGGGTTTTGAAGATTCTCTATGTTATGGATACCCAACTCAGTTGAGGAAGATGTCTTGAATCATTGTCTGACTTTGAAATCAAAGGGAAATGTGAACTTTGCAAATTTTACAAGCAACTCCTGTATTGGAGCTGTTATCAAGGACTTGGGTGCACAAATTTTAGCATTAATTGCTCATATTATCTGTTACATGAATGAAAATAAGAAGAACCTAAGGATGGATCTGGCCTGCTCATCATCATGAAATACTTGCCTTTCCTTCAGCAAAGAGTATTTTTCATGTATGGACTACAGAGACTATCTTATAAATCTTTCTAGCTGCTGAACTTTGCTACTCATACAGCAAACATCTGCTTGCCTTAACATCTGTTTCAATTAAAATACATGAAGTATAATCCCATTGCATTCTTAGTCAGTTCTGAGTGTACTTAGTTTTCTTCACCTGCATCCTTTTCAAAGTTGCACTGAAAAATTAAGACATTTTGAATCATCCAATCTTCCTTCCATAGCCCCATTAAATTAAAAAGCAACTCTCAGTTGCTTTGTTAAATTTATATTTTAAGGCACTGAAATGTCATTCTTTTGCATTAGCAGTTATTTTTTCCAAGTATTTTTAATGTTAATTCACAATAAGTTTCTCCATATTCATTTCCTAATTGTCTTGAGCTAAAATAAGCAAGTATTTTTGCCAGTTGCACTTTTCAGAGTTGCCCAAGAGATACTGCAAACATCTAGACCATGAGAAATAATATTCTCTGTTTTCTATAGTTGTGAAGTGGTATTGGGTCATGCACTAAATTTGGAGAAGTCATTTCAAATCATGAAGGCTGCTTTGTAAACACAGATGCCTCCATGATTTGAAATGACTTCTCCAAATTTCCATCATCATGGATTGGCAGTCCATATGGAACAGAATCAAGTAGCAACTCTTTAGAAAAGAGTTTGAAGGCACTGATAATGATCACATGAAATATGCATCCTTAGATCTAATGTGTATGAAAGATCAGTGACTAGTGCCTAAGGCAACCTCCTGATCCTAAACTTGAGAGCCAACCAATATCCCATTTCCCCAACATGTTTCTAATAGTGATGATGTCTGTAAATGAGGAATCTGGGCATAGTGTATTGCTATATCCACCTATGTCCGTATGCCAGACAGTCACAGCTCTGAGGGTCATTCTAAACAAGATCTGAACCCCATTCTGTACCTCATCCATATGACCCTAGTCCCATGATTCATCACAGATAGATTAAAATAATCATCCTCCTTCCCTCTGTCCCCTTTTTAAAAAAGCACAGTGGAACTGATAGCACTGGAAAGTTGGCAAATATGTTTGTTTAAACACTTCCCAACAGTCTTTTGGCAGGTGTTTCCAGAGCACTTCTAGCACAGCTTTTCCAATCAAATATGTGCCTGCCAAGGTACATACCAATGGGAGGGGGGATGTTTTTGCTTTAGCACAGCTGGAACAGCACACTGTGCTCTAAATGTGATATAGACAAGGACTAGTTTTGGCAGCAATGAATGGACCTCAACAGATTGGAAACCCTGACATCTGAGCATTCAGCCTGAAGGCAGGCATTGCATCATGGCCTCTCCCAATTTGAAGAGGCCCTTGTCCAGCAGGCCAAGGCAAAGAGGCAGTCATGAAAGCAGCAAAATCAGGGGTCTGGACAGAGGACAGATTGCATTTGTCTTCAGTGTGGAAGGGATTGTCACTCTCAAATTGGCCTTCTCAGCCACACTAAATGCTGTTCCAAGTCCTCCATAGTCTCTTGAGACTGAAGGATGCCTAATCATGAAGTGACAGGAAAGGGATAAAGCAAAGTATAATGCTGCCTGGTTACCTGATGTGCCTGGTCATTGGATACATCGTGCTCTTGTTTATTTAATCTAACAATCTTCCTAATTTTAAAATTAGCCAT